TTTCCCCCCCCCCCCTCCCCACATCACGACGGCACCGCAAACCGCTTCGGAGATGGCGACATTAGCGCGCTCAAGGAAGACCCATGATGTGAAAAGCCGCAAGAACCAAGGGTGATGGAAATACAAATCCTGGCTCCTGGTCGACGTTCTATGTGGATCGGCGTGGGGTACTGGATGATACATTCGGGTAAGGGAAGCTAGGCGGGAAGTGATAGCAGCGAAGGCGATATAGGATAGGGTGAGGCGGGGCGGAAGCGGCATGAAAGCGAACTATCGAGTAGTTAGCCAAGAGGGATAGCTGCAAGCGAAATTTTTCGCTTTTAGCTGGGAAGCCTGTACTGAGGGTATCATAGGACGATCAGTATTTCTTCGCTCTCATGACTATTTGCAAACTTTATGCTGTGGGACTTGGTGGCTGGGTAGCCAAGACGTTGATGGCGAGATGAGGTGCAGGTGTGTTATACCACGCGACTCGTATTGCGACTACCGTTGCGCTGGGAAGAAGGCCGTTGTTCCCTGGCGCCTAAGCTGGATTGGACGGCTCATTACATGCTATGGGTATGAGAACACCGCGTTCGCGTTGTTGGAAGAGAATGCGAGTGCAGTGCAGTGCATTGAGATTTGATCATGCTGTCTCGCCAAACGATACCGAAAGAAGACTGACAGCGCATATGTCGTGAGAGCCAACATCAACGTCGAGAGACCATGCAGTGCGATAACGGAGAATAAATGCAGTGCAACGAATATAGTCAACCTCCACAAAGGCCACCCACCACATCCCTCCACTTCGCTTGCTTTATCCCAAAAGCGAACTTGACAGCTAGTACGCACCACTGAAAGTCCCACAGACTGTTAAGATGCCCATGCCTGTAGTGCCCCATCCATCCATCCATCGCGTTGCTCGACACATGTCGTGCAGATACCGGTAAACCTTCCTTTCGTCCCAATGCAGATCCACCTCCACCACCACCACCTCATCATGCTTCGCAGTCGCCTACGCTGGCCCCCTTCCTAGCATCGCTCTAACGCCTGCAGCCGCATACTCATGCGCGACGTCTGGCGCGGCCGGCACGCTGGGAGCGGCATACCTGCTCTGGCCTCGCACTTGACGCCCGAAGCTCTCGTCGTCATACACGACCGAGTCGTTGGTGGCGGCAATGTGCCTTTGGTAGAGTTGCTGGGATGCTGCGTCTTGTGATCCGGTGCCTACACCGCTGAGTGTGAGGCGCTGCTCTGTGCTGCCTGATCCGAAGGACTTTTTCAGTGCGGGGACCGACAGGTAGGATGCTGTGCCATTTTGCCAGTTGTCCACGGTAGAGCCTATGAAGGTCTGGTTGCTGTAGGGCGTCGAGCGTAGACGCGTGTAGTCGAATGTTTTCCAGTCATTTGGGAAGGCTAGGTCTCCTTGTTGCTGCACGTTTTTGCTTCGTTCCATGCTTGCGTTGATGCTGACGTTGCCGCCTGATGGTGCGTTGTAGGACGATTGCACCCATAGAGGGTATTCGAAGCTCTTGGAATAATCGGTGGATGCTGTATGTGTGCCTGTTGTCGACTGACGTACGATCTGGTCGTTACCGCCGTTGCTGAGAGTTCCAACGTTGGAGTAGGTGAGCTTCTGGGTCCAGGTAACTGCTTTTGAACCTGCGGGCGTGTCGAACGTGGATTGGATTTCTAGATTGCGAGTGACTTGAATAGAGTAGTCCAGGACGATGCCTGCGCTGCTGTTCGAGTATCCGCGTTTTGACGAGTGTAGTACGATACTCGAAGTCGTAACAGTGGTAGGCGCGGGTCCTGTGATAGCGTTGTTGCCAGTGTCAAGCCAAACGAAGATCTTCCCAGTAACGACCCAGTTCGATTCGATGGCTGTCGTAAAGTTCCCATTCCCACGACCATCATCATCGACGCCGACAACCTGAATCTCGAAGCTATGGGGCTGGCCGTCACTGAGCAATGGTATGAACGGAGTGATGTCGATTTCGTCTTCTCGCAGATCGAATGCATCGATGCCTACGATGGGCCTCCAAAAGCCAGGAACAACGCCACCGGTGAAGATGACGGGAAAGGGCCAGGCGACTCCAGCCAATGATCCGTCGATCAGAAGACGAAGCTCGCGGAAGGCCGAATGACCGTAAAGCGTAGTGTCGTTGCCGAATGCGTTGATGTCGGATTGCAATACATTGCTCCACCAGAACTCCTCCGCAGCCTGACCACATGCGGAGATGGAGAAGGCCGCCTTCTTCGCGTTCTGCGGAAGCACAACGCTGTTGACTGCTCTTGTCTCCGGTACGACGAATACGCTCGATGCATCTTGATCCGACTTCCGTGCTGAGATCGGGATGATGACATCTGCGGGTTCGATAGCATCGTCGGCGGTAAAGAAGGTGGCAGTCAACGTCGTATACCAGGAGCCGGTGTATGTATCGTCGACGATATTACCGAGATCGAAGATTATCTTTTGTGGCGTATTGAAAAGAGATTGGTAGCTGCTCATGTCCTTGACATATGTCCATATTATGCCGGCTTGTGTTGGCTCGGCGGTGGAAGTACGGAACACTTCGGTATCATCAAGGAACATCACACCGAGCCGGTCAAACTGCCGGCCGGCAGAGGTAACGGTAAA